CATGCTCTTGGAAGCTCCAGATTCAGAATTTAACAGCTCGCTCAGCATCTAACACCTTGAGAGTCAATAGGGCCAAACAAAATTCACCCTCTTTTGAAAATCTGTCTTTATTCTGGTAAACTGAATCCAGGGAGCAGAGTCAAAAGCCTCCCAAAAATCTGCTAAGAATTATAAATGTTTGGTGGTTGCCAAGGCCTACTGATGACTTACTGCTTGATGGTCGTTTCAGTTGAGAAAATCAAAAAGTTCTGGACACCGATGACGGTGATAATTCACAATCGTGGGCAAGTACTTGATGCTTCTGGACTACACACTTACACCTGGCTCGAGTGGCAACTTGTCTGTGATATGTATTTTACTCAAAATTTTAAGTGAAAAAAAATTATTAACCCCAAAGTAAATCTCTATCCTCAGCCCCGCTGATATGGCAACCCAAAAGTCAAGAGGGGCCTCCCTGCGGGCACAGGGCTCGGTCTCAGCACTATGAAGCTGCTGCAGCCCCTGCAGCGCTAGCTAGATCTCCCCAGGGGGTGACCCCCGGGGTGACCCCCAGGGCGCAGCAGACCCCGCCTGTCTCCCCGCTGCTCCCCTCAGCAGTGTGTCTCAGTCACTCTGCCTGTTCTGCTCCTCACTGTTCCTCGTGAATCCTCTCACCCCCACCCCCCCACACACACACCTCTGGCCTGTACCCCAGTTCTTGTATGCAGCGATTAAATCTTTTTTTAAAAATTTAATTAAATTAAAAATTCAGGAAGGAGAAAAGCAAAATGTATTTATTTGGGGTCAAACAATTGCAATTCAAGGTACACAGATTCAGGCCAAAAATCTAGAACATGACCCCAAGATAAAAATGGGGCTTACAGTTTATGAAAGGAAAAAGGGGATAGTGAAGTAAGTAGTTAGAGAAGAGAGCGAGTAGTGTTAAGTCAAGTCATTAGTGGTAAGAAGCTTAAACTGGGGCCCTCCCTGGTGGCGCAGCGGGTTAAAGCACAGCACTAAGAAGCCTAAGCCACTTCCCCATGAGTTCCATCCCCACCTGCCCCGGAGGTGACCACATGGCGCGGCAGACCTCTCCTGACCCGCCCGCTGCTCCCC